TGGAATACGTCTTTCACTATTTCATTGTGCCTTCAAATTTTACTTTTAATACACTTTCGGTGTATTCTGTTAAAACACCAGACATTCAAAGTTTTGTACTTGCTTGATTTTTGGCATCTTTATTTCTTTGTTCGCAATTTGGGCTGTTCAACTTGCTTACTATCATACATTCTCTCTTGATGTTTAGTCTTATCTTCCCAATATCCGTTGCTACCTTCTGTAGAGGCGTAAATAACGCCCTCGGGCTGACATAGGCTTGTATTATCTGTTCTTCTGCTATCTGGCGTTCACTTTACGAAGATACATTGTTGGATTCCTGGTTCTAAGATTCCAACCCCGCGGGAGCACCCCCGCCTTAAAGTCTGATAACCGATATTACATTCTATACATAGCAGAAGCAACAATAGACATACTAGTCTTATAATTTACGAGAAGCTTTCTGATTATTATTCGGTGACCCATTTTTCTTTTCCTGTTGTGACAGGAGATAATAGTTTGTCAAAGATTTTTTGTAAAAATTTCGGTCAACTATATAATATAGGCCCGTTGGAGTAATGGACAGAGGCTCGGATTGAGGAATTGGAGAGCCGATTTCGAATTTCAGTCGAAACTATTATATTCACTTACGTGCTAATACCCGCGGGAAAGATATGGGTAAATAACAGGACAGACCGGGTTCTATAGCCTCGGATGGCACGTGGTCTGCCGTAGAAAGAAATGGCAACCTACTGCAGGAAAAAATCTGCCTCGTTAGTGACGTATCGAAAGATACTTGCCTAAGCGTGTATCCCGCATGGCACATAACTGAAATGAGATAATATTACGCCTACTTGAAAAAAAAAAAAAAAAAAAAAAATCTAGCCAATATTTAAGGAAAATAATTATTTGAAGTAAAAATTGTGATATCTACCCAGCCAGGTTTAAGCCACAGAAATAACCATTGTGGTATCTTTTGTGGTAAGGATTTAAATGTGATTCAAATTGTTTTTTGAGATCAGAACATTTCTTCTGCGGTGGTATTAATTGTATTTTAACACTTTGTCTATGCTACTTATCTACATCGATTTCATTTCTAACTTTCAGGAGATATTGGTATCTGAAAGAGTTAATTTGATTTGAACTTCGGCTTGTTCAGGAGTTTGGGCGTTCTTAAGTCCTTACATATTCTCAGCATTGAAAGCTCTTTGGGAGCTCTGGCTGCCGTTTCATCTAAAACCTTTCCCTTGCCGCAGCTTTGGCTATTTTGATTGCAATCTGGTCCTCTGTTAGCGGAAATTTCTTTTTGCGAGGCATATTGTTGACGTGTGCACCAGGCAACAATAAACTGCAGAAGAACTGAAAATTGATTTCTGCATTTAAGTATCGCATTAATATTTAAGCTTACCTTTTAAAAGTTAAACGATAATTCTTCTGCCGGCACTTAATTTAAAGACACTTTTATGTACGTAGGTCCTAACTTTCCGTACAAATAATTAGTTTTATTTCATGGGTGACTTTCGCTTGATTTCGCATTTATTTCGATTATTCCCAATTTTATTTCCAAGTTATAAAAATGAAAAATTGAGAATCGAACATTTCAATCCGAGATGAGTTTAATTTGCTCACCGAATCGGTCTGATTCCAAAATGTTATGATATGATGAGCTACGACCTCTAGGAGTAAAGTTGAAAATGTGAGACACACTGACATTCTCATTTATTTATATTGATATATAGATTTTCCTCACCGGTGGACCGACTCTGAGTTTCATACAATTTTCAGTTGAACTGACACAAACTGTTACATAATTTTAATTTTTAAAAAAAATATATCGGGTTACCGCAATTATGGGACAGTGCATATTTGATACAGCTTACGGTTAAATCACGCTGAAACACCGGTTCTCGTTCGATCACCGAAGTTAAGCTGTGTAGAGCCAGGTCAGTACTTAGACTGGGGACCGCTTGGGAACACCTGGTACTGTAAGCCCCCAAAGTCCAACCCTTACCTCACAGTCGGTGGTGGTGGGGGGTAAAACGGTAGTGTCAGAGCTATGCCGCCCGGAACTTCGTTCCTGGTAGGGCCACCCAAGGCGGACAGGTCTGACACACACGCCGGCTAACAAGGGCTCTGGTGAAAATCCAAGGAGCGTCTACATCGGTAACCGGCGGCTTCTGGTCGTTCCTGTCTCTGCGTCTGTGGGAACCCCGCGGCAAGCAAGAACGTTATCCGAGTAGGCCTGTGTACCCTACTTCTGTAATTTATCCCAAGAATCTTCTTCTCATAACAGGAAGAAGCCGGCTCAATCCGCCCAGGGTGAATACCGCATCAGTACAGTACAGTACAGTAGTATATTTGATACGGGGATTGTCTTTTTTTTTAATTTTGTATTATATAAAGCACTATTTTTATTAACACCACCCCATGATGTGTGATATTATACATCCTATATGTTTAAGCCAGCGAGAAACAACATCCTTCATGTCCCATCGCCGAACGTGCCTTGTGGAACCCGTTGCTGATTAGAGAGTCAAAACGTATTACACATGACCTAAATCTGGTTAGCTGCCTCGTTTTATCTCCGAAATATTGTGAATATTTACTAATCGAAGTAAATATTTCTATACGAATAACTTTAAAGACACCCTTATGCTTTGTACAAAATTTCATATCAGACATTGTTTTACCTGTTTGCCTTTTAGTTTTTATTAGTAATACGTAGAAAACGATGAGTTATTGATTGGACTTTTCAATCTCTACTGCCATAGATCCGACTTCCAACACTGACGTTCTGTCGCAACATAAGAAAATAATAGAAAATGATGAGACAGAACGTCGGATATTTTTAACCTCTAAGAAGAACATAGTAATGTCTCATCATCAACGGGATGAACAATGAATTAATTCCAGTCTTGATAAATGGTTTCACTCTTAATGGCGCAGTTTTTTGAACAGCTATTGGGTCTCATGTCCACCCTAGGCTTTAAGTGGAATTCATATATTCGATACTTCGGTAAAGATGTTGGAAAAATGGTCGTTTTTTTTTGCTCTGCCTCAGAATGTAGCTGATTCCACATGACATACTCTTTACAAGTGTCAAATTAGACTCATTCCAATTTAAAGATAGTAGTGATCGAATTATCTGACAATAAAAACTATTCAGGCTACACGGTATGCCATGGAGTTTCATAATCTTCACTTGATAAGGATACAATTATTGATATCACATTATGTTTAATTACGTAAACCAGAAAATATAGCCATTAGAATATAGATATCTGGTAAATTAAAAAAAGTTTCAGTTATGACTTTCGCAATATAAAACTCTTTGACAATAGACGAAAGATAGTTCAGTAATAACGTGTGTATACAAGATTCATTTTTACCGTTGTCGGCTTTAACTTGTATCCAAGAATTTAATTTTTTCTTTTCTGATCGCTTCCTCTATGATGATGGCTTTTCTGACTAAGTAGATCAATTTTTGCATTGAATAGTCGATGGAATTCACTGCATAGCCTTGTTAGTGGAGGACGTGGTCGATTTTGTTGAGTCTTTCAAAAAGAAGGTACAACGGCTGAAACGTCGTGAATATGACTAAAGATGAGGACAACAGGCCGAACGATGTAAATAGTGTAAATAGTTATAATAGCCTATCTGAGAAATATACATATCTAATAAAAGATGACATTCACTCCCATATATATATATATATATATATATATATATATATATATATATATATATATATATATATATGTGTGTGTGTGTGTGTGCGATATACGAATCTATATAATAGACTAATAGTGGTTGCGTTGATGACAAAATGGAAAGACTACTAAATGTCACGTTTCGTTCTGAAAAGGAAATTGTTCAGACTGATATTTAAAAAAAAAAGCGGTAAAATTTGGAATGAGATCAGAAAAGTTAAAAGTCTAGACACATTTAAGGCTGGGCAACCCGGCATTTTTAACGTGTTCGATGCAAAATTGACTCAGGCGTTTATTGTATTCTTACCCGCTAACGTATTCATACGCTATCTATCTATCTATCTATCTATCTATCTATATATATATATATATATATATATATATATGATTAAAAACTCCGTGTACTTTATAAATACATTTCGATGAAAATAGCTATATACGTCTCATCAGACCGACTACATCTTCTCCTCCTATTCATATAATTTACCCGTTAACCTAACTCTCTACCTGGAAAATGGGTCTCGTACAGAGTGAACCTTACTGTAAAACACACAGACACATACATACATACATATATATATATATATATATATATATATATATATATATATATATATTATAAATATATATATATATAAATATATATATATATATATATATATACTATAAATTAATTGATTTAAAATATGTTTTTTCGCTACACAGTTCTAACCATGTTTTAAAAAATGGAAGCTAAAAGCCCCGAATTTAATTTTTGTAATTAAATTAAAAGACATTAGTTTTATTTCATCCTCAAGCGAATTTTGGATGAAATGGAACTAATGGCTTTAATTTAATTCGGGGCTTTTTAGCTTCCATTTTTGAAACATGGTTAGAACTGTGTAGCGAAAAAACATATTTTAAATCAATTAATTTATAATATTAATCTCTGTAAATTTACATTGAGTACTATTTTGTAAAAATAAAATATCTATAAGAACACCGGATTATATATCTTAGTGTTTTTTTTTTTTTATTTATACACACACACACACACACACATATATATATATATATATATATATATATATATATATATATATATATATATATATATATATGCATGTATGGGCGTGTGTGTGTTTGTGTGATGTTTATGCGCGTGTATGCATGTAAATGATGCAGTTTTTCATATCTTGTAAAGAAAATTAATCTCTAAATATGTGAACGAAACGTTAAGCACAAACACAGCAGATGAAAAGATATTAATTTGTTGCATTAGAAAAAAAAGAAAAAAGAGCGTGCCGGAAATTATATATCCCCGAATATTCTCGTATGCCCAAAGAATTGTTGGCGGTTCTTTTTCTTGCCTTTCATCTGCATTTGTTTTGCATCTGTTCGCCATCTTCTGTAGATTCTTTTTTTTCAATAGCACACGACGAAATAACTACATAACCTCCTTGTTTTTGTGCATTAACATCCCAGGAAGAAGAAACGGTGTCACTAATTCGAAGAAAAATCTTTCAGGCGGAAGAGAAGTAAGTTAAATTTGCTGAAGATACTTAGGTGTAATGAGATGATGACCGGATGCTGGAGCTGTCGACGACAAAAATGGCAATCTGTCTAACAGGAAACGGCAACGCAACGAGAAAGATGATGGCTTTTCCGGTTTTGTGTCGTTGCTTTAGCTCTCTGTGTCTTATATTCTTCCTTATTACGGCTTTCTTTTTGCCATTCTCGTTGCAACAATCGATTACGTCTTTTGTTTATTTATTTATTTTGTTCTTTCATTCGTTTTCTCGTTCTTTCTTTCTTTCTTTCTTTTTATTTTTCTTTAGCATTTTCATCCATAGCGGCTTCTCTATGTATATATCTCTCTCTATATATATATTTTAATTTTTTAGTGTTCCTCTTAATTCTTTTTCTTTCTTTATGCTTATTCCTTTTCTAATTGTTTCTTTTTATTAATTCTACTCCTATCACATATTCCCTTAATTTCTTCTTCTTCTTCTTCTTCTTCTTCTTCTTCTTCTTCTTCTTCTTCTTCTCTTACGATCATATCATGTTGAAACACTGGACCTCGTATGAAGTTAAAAAAATGTCGCTACTGGTCAGCATCTAAATTGGTGAACGCTTGGGTATATCAGGTACAGTAACTTTAGAAATTCAGGATTTGTAATGGATAAAGACTCAGGGCAGAAATCGGAGATCTAAGTTCGAATTTCAATCGGGTTAGTTACATTCAGTTACACGCAAGTGAAAAGCACGAATCCACGACTTCTCCCCCCAGATATGGGTTAAGTAGTAGGACCCGTAACAGAAAATCGTTATCTCCAAAAAATTGTTAATAAATATCCACTCACACACACACACACACAAAAAAAAAGGAAAAAAAAAAGTTCTTAAAATATAGAATTAATTTTCAGCTTTGAATAAACTACGAAAGGTTGATAAGCCGTAAAAAAACAGTCAATCCATCTTTTTATTCTTCTTGTTATTTCTTTTTCTATTTCTGTGCACTTCGTTTTTTCTCTTCATCTTCACCTTGGCGACGACTACTTTTTCAGCACGTCTATCATCTCCTCAAGTTTCATTGTTCAGTACTTTTTCTGCTTTTTTGTTTCTACTGACATTTTTTTTTCTTTTTCATCACTTTGAACGATATTTTTATTGGATATTCGTATTAGAGTAGGCACTTAGTTTATTTATTAAAAAGTATATTTATTTAGCCACGGAGAACTATCTCTCAGGCGAGGCCACATTTCGTGCTTTCAAGCGAAATTTCCCTGAGCGACATATCTCTGTGGTCAAGTCGGTAGGACGTAACAGGACAAACGAGGCTCCTCCTTCCCAGAAGTATGAGAGTTCGATACCCGTCGGAGAGCGCCAATTTATCTTTTAATAATATATATATATATATATATATATATATATATATATATATATATATATATATATATACTGTTTATTAAATAAACTGAGCGTCTACTCGTATACGAGTTATCCACTAAAAAATTGCGTTTAATGTGAAAGCAATCTGTCTGATTAATAAAAATATCCATTCTAAGATTCTCACATTTTCCTGTGTCTTCATAGTTTATATAGTAAGTTATATACCATCAGCGATACAGGCTCGGGCGATTTTTGACTGACTAGGAAGAAGACCTTCTCGCAGTAAGTTCGCCGTTCCTTTCTGCGGTAGACTGGTTACCAACAACGGCTATAGAACCGAGTCTGTCCTGTTATTTAAAACATAGCCGAGCAAAGAAGAGATAAAGCAAGTAATGTATCATAAGTGATACACGCTTGGGCAATCATGTCTCTTTCGATTCATCAGTGACTAGGCAGAGGATCTTCTCGTAGTAAGTTGCCGTTCCTTTCTGCGGTAGACTGGTTACCAACAACGGCTATAGAACCGAGTCTGTCCTGTTATTTAAAGCATAGCCGAGCAAAGAGATAAAGCCAGTAATGTGTCATAAGTGATACACACTTGGGCAATCACGTCTCTTTCCATTTATGACTGACTAGGCAGAATATCTCGCAGTAGGTTGCCGTTTTTTCCTGCGTTAGACTGGCTGTCAAAGAGTGGTCTAGGACCCTATCCGTACTGCTATTCATCTCGTAGTTGTCGGGAGAGGAGATGGATTCATATTTTTCCCAGGGTTATTTTCGTGTAAGTGAATGTAACAAACACGATGGGATTGCGAACTCGGCTCACTAATGAATAAATAATACTGAAAGGATTTGTGCGCCATGACACCTTGTATATTTTCTAGTCGCCATGTATAGGAAAAAAATAACAAAATTCATTATCTATGGTTGTGAACCAGTCACTTTACTCGGACGCAGTAAAAGAAAATATTACTTGACTGAAAATTTTCAAAAGTGTAATTTGTACCAAACAACAACAACAAATTTGACAAGTAGAAAAAAAACTGTGCATTAAGACTCTTTGCAACGATTCCCTTGTGACGTCGTCCCCCGGTCGCAGCGTCGACTGTGTCGTTCGATCCCGGTCGCGGCGTCAATTGCGACGTCACGTGCTCCCCAGGCTCTGATATCCTGGTCACGGACAGCACCAACTGTGACGTCTTCGCCGCGGCGTCAGCTGTTCACTCCTCGCTGCTCCAAACGTGACGTTCTAATCCTTTGGTTAGATTGATACCAGCCTCGCCGTTCCCAACCCGCTTCCAACGCCTGGTTACCAGGGTAACTGCACTGATCTCCAGTCTGCCTACCCACGTTGTGAATTGATCTTAGACAGACGAGATCAAACAGGGGTTGGGGCCGTAATGCAAGTTGAGTCCAACGGGGGTGATAACACACAATTATGTATAAAAGAAAATAAAACAAAAACTCACAAGGTCCAACGTATCAAAGTAAAAGGTAACAGACTTTTTATGTCTATTTGCTCGGTACATAGGACTATGTCTACTTCCCGACCCGTTCTGTGGATTGTGGCACGACGCTTTTACTAGGCAACTTTAAGGCTTCAAGTTGTCTGCTCTCTAAGAAATTTGTGTTTCGGTGTGTCTTTGGACGAAAGTCGAAAAAAAACTTATTTCTGTGGTCTTGATTCTAAGTCGCTCTTCAAACTACTTGTTCTTGGTTGAAGAAGAGTCCAGAAGTGTGCGTGAATCTTGGTCAGCTATCTTGACGCGGTTTCAACACTAGGCGCTCATCTCTGCTTGTCGTCCAGGTTCAAAACTTCTCGCCAGGGTCCGCGGCTCAATCTGACTTCTTCTCTCCGGCTTGGGTCGAACAAACTGAACTCTTTTCTCCAGAGTCTGAATTACTGGTCACTCATCTCCGCCGTCGGTGCGCGAACTAACTTCTTCTCTTCGGCTTGGGTCGGACGAACTTCTTCACTTAGGCCAAACGAACTGGCCTCTCTTGCCCGCAAAGTGGGCGACCGAACTCGGGCCGCCGTCCGCGGTTCCACTCCGCTTGCCGTCCGCGGCTGAACTCTCATTTCTGTCGGTTGGGGTCTCGCTTTTATTGACGCAGTCAAAACTGGGGTGGGTCTGTCGGCGCCAGGGGTTCTTCGATAATTCTAAATACGTATGCACCCTTCTTATTTCTGGTTAGGGATTTTTCATTCTTTTCCATTTTCGGTAACTCACTCTCACTCCCACTCCCTTACTGAGCCTCTGAGGGGCGTATACCCGCTTCCCCGCTTCTTCGTATCGGCTCCTTACACTTACACTCCTGACAGGGGCGTCGATCGATTCTCCTCGTGCGTCACGTGACCGCTCTCGGCCAATGAGGTCCTGGTCGGGTATCTTTCCTCCTCCTTCGTGTGTCATGTGATCTTATTTAGCCAATGACGTCTTTAGTCGGGCGTGGACAATCCGTGGCTTTGTTTTGGGAAAGAAATACCTTGTTTAAAAAACAAAAATATTAATTTAAATCGCCCTTATCATGAGCGACTGAGATGACACCTTCGGCTTTTTAACACGTGGTATTTGTCAAGCAGTTTATCGCTAATTGGATATGATCTAAGAAAGGAATTTCTCAGACTCGTTGGCGTTTCTGAAACGGAATAAAAATATTTCATTTTCCCTCCGCTCGAAGGTCTGATAATAAAAATCTTTATTATCTCAAAAAAAATTTTGCCAGAGACCACCTTGTGTGGCTTTTTCTAATTCTGAAGACTGTCTGTGTTTTCGCATTAATGGTTTGTCTTCATATCCTTAGATACACTTCCCCACCCACTTAGACCTTTACTATCATTCCAATGACACTTTCCCACTTTGTTACTTATCAATATTTTCCTCTGGGTGACAACCAACTGATAATACACTTCCATTTTTCGCGGATCCGCGGAAATCTGTCAGATGCTTGACCCGAATATTTTTCGACACCTGTTATCTGTCAGCGGTGCGTGTGTGTGCTCGCCTATGACCTGTTTTCGTATTATTTTTTCTTTCTTTCTCCTTCGTTTTCTCTTTCTTTCTCCCAGATCGCTTGAATGTAAAGAAAGAATTATTCTTAAAACCCAAAATATTTTTGGGCCTTAAATAATTATTAAATGGTTGATAAACCGTAAAAAACAAATCATATATCTATGAATATTTCTCTCAGCTCGTCAGGTATGCATGGTGCCACACCCTTTTGGGAACGTCTATTTTCAGACTGATCTCTGATTAAAATAAATCAGCATAAATTGTAATGAATCATTTATGTGAATGTGCGTAGTTAATATTTGCCGTGGATGAACTGTCATAATTGTCAGGTCACTGAATGTGAGGGACGCGTACTTTGATCACGTAATCCATAACCTTCTTTGGAGATTTATTTATACTTTTACTAAATCGATATCGCTTTAAAGGTTATTTTTAGTGGATATACCCGGATTTGAATAAACTGTATATTTATTTATTTCCGACTACTGAACTGAATATTTGTGTAATCTTATTAAAAAAAAATTACGTCTACTCAGATACGAGTATCTACTAAAAACAAACTTTATTTGACATCCCACACGCAACTCTCTTTTCTCCATATATATATATATATATATATATATATATATATATATATATATATATATAGAAAGACACATACATAAAAATAAAAAAATATAAAAAAATATAATAAAAGCTTTTGAATATACTTTTCTTACATCCGTACAAATAGATTTCTTTTGGGGACATAGAATGTATATGAACTGTCAAAATAATCTTAAACACAATTCTTGTAGAATATATATTCCAAAATATAATCTCTTGTACGAATGCAAGCACAAATAGAATAAAAGTTTCAAATTGATAGAAATGCAATAAATCAGTATTGTGCCATACGTGATACACGCATCGGTAATCTTGGCTCTTTCGATTCATTACTGACTAGGCAGAAGATATTCCCGCAGTAGGTAGCCGTTTCCTTTTTGCGTTTGAAGTTGTAGTTTCTGCAAAACATATGTTACTATTCTCCTGTGCCTTCATACATTTGTGTCATATTTCCGTCGTGTTGCTACGCCACTCCAGAACTTCTGTTGCTGATTGATATTGACCTCCCCGTAGTTTACATTTTCTGCTCTACCTCATTGGCTGACGACTATGCATTCTGCCTTTTGGCTGTTAACGGTTTGTTATCCCAATTTTTTTCCATTACTTCCTCGCCTACCAGATCTTTGAGTTTCCAGGTATAAGCAAATGTAAATCAAAATAGATAAGGAAAGAAAAAATGCAAGTGGAATCATCTCATAATAAGTTTAGCAGTTTATTAAAGTAGAATAAAAAATATATATTTCAGTATAATTTAGCTGTATTCACTTAATAATCGTGATGGAGCGTAGAACTTCCAGGACCTTGCTTGAGAAGCGGAAAAAATGTCAAAGTAAGAAAATAAGGCCCGGCGTTACTACGCGATTGGCATTCCCTACCATTGGTGTGAAATATGACCGATACACTAAATAATTTTGCTGATAGATTTGATCGTACCCTCTGAAAAGAAGAGAACACGGACCAGTTGATTCTGTAATTGGTGAAGCCTTCAAGCTTAATTGTTTGATCTTATTCTTCCTTTGATGAACTGAAGAGTCAAATGATTTATTAATTCCTGCAGATATATCACTGAGTCAGTTACTATTTATACCAGTCTATTCAAAGCTATCTCGCTCGCTTCATGTATCTATATTAGTTTAATCATACGTATGTATCAATCAATGTTCGTAATACAGAATCTATTTAGATAATTCTTTATCTTCATCTCACTCTTATCTATCTATGATAATATATCTCACTATGTTCATCTATCTATCTATCTATCTATCTATCTATCTATCTATCTATCTATCTATCTATGTTCTCTCTCTCTATATATATATACATTAATATTTCTCTGTTCACATATCGCTGTCTATCTATCTATCTATCTATCTATCTATGTTCTCTCTCTCTCTATATATATATATATATATATACATTAATATTTCTCTATGTTCACATATCACTGTTTATCTATCTATCTATGTTTTTCTCTCTATCTTTCTAGATATATTAACATTTCTTTGTTCACATATCGCTTTTTTCTATCTATCTATCTATCTATCTATCTATCTATCTATGTTCTCTCTCTCTATATATATATATACATTAATATTTCTCTATGTTCACATATCACTGTTTATCTATCTATCTATGTTTTTCTATGTATCTTTCTAGATATATTAGCATTTCTTTGTTCACATATCGCTGTTTATCTATCTATCTATCTATCTATCTATGTTTCTCTCTCTCTCTCTCTCTATATATATATATATATATATATATACATTAATATTTCTCTATGTTCACATATCACTGTTTATCTATCTATCTATGTTTTTCTATCTATCTTTCTAGATATATTAACATTTCTTTGTTCACATATCGCTGTTTATCTATCTATCTATCTATCTATCTATCTATCTATCTATCTATCTATCTATCTCCCTCTCGCTACATATCTAATTCTCGACTATGGTAAAGGCCTGCAAGACAAGATAGTAAACCCGTGATTAATATTCCATTCTTACGGAATATGATTAACAACCTGGATCATTTAAGTGTTTTAAACTGATGATCAAAAAAAAAAAGTCATTTGTGACAGCAATTTGTGCAGCTTTGGATGTGAAGACAATTGCTCAATTGCTCCACTTGATGTTGACTTTGAAGATTTGATAATCGAAATCGCTTATTAGGTTTTCCGGACATTGCCTAAAATTACTTTCATATCAGCAGCCAAATTTGTGCCAATGCATCGAACGACTTTTCGAATCTTTCACTATAAATTTACGTCCAAGTTGATATAACATTAGAAAATTATTTCTATTACAATGTGGAAAAGTAAAAAAAAAAAGATAGCACTATAACCAAAAACAAGAGCGTGGACAACTAAATGATCAATACTAGGTTAGGCATCAATATTATAAACAAATCAATCAATTTCTATCGACCGCGAGTAACAGCAAAATTATCCATATCCTGTAAAATTGTTCATCCCAGAAAATATTTAATATCTAAAAAAGAACTGAACAGTTTGAGTTTCTTTTTCTAGCATTTGACATAATGCGTTTAGCCATCTTGATACCATTTTCGTAAGAATCAATGAAAAACCCTTTGTGTTATTCATTTAGAAAGAGAAAAAGTTAAATCGTTTTGTGCCAGCTTTACTGTCTTCCTAAATGAGCAATAATGATCGGAAAATATAATACTGGTCTTCAGTAATGGTACCATCATTCATAAGCTGGCTCCCATCTTCAAACCCCATTCAAGAACTTTCAAGTAGATGGAGAATAAGTTTAAAAATAAGTTTCAAAAAGAGGAAACAGTAGAGAGGAAAATTGGATCAGGAGGTCACAACATGAAGATGGATCATCATTTAAACTTAGACCTAAAGAGATCATTTATAAAAGATCCAATTCAACCCATTAGACCAAGGGTCGGCAACCTACGGCCCGCGAAGGCATTTTGACCGGCCCGCGAGCCTGATTATCAAATGACTCTATTTTTAACATGAGGGACGACCTTCAAATGAAATTTGTTATATGTCATTTTCCATAGAATGTCTACACATCCCAGTGCACTAAAAATATTATCTGCTAGTTATCTTTCATGAGACTTATTTTACCAAGTTGCGTTGCCTACGTTTAATATCAAATAATGGATACATATTTGTTATGGCCCTTGGCTACATTAAAAGATAACAGAAGCGAAAGGAACGATAAAGTGAAAGAGGCCAGGGCGGGATTGACATGCGAGGTAGCAGAAATCTAAAGACAGTTAAACATACGCGCATTATACATACATGCCTCATGAATGTGTGGATGATACCGCATGTGTACGTACGTAAGTTTATGTTTGCAACTATTTGTACTCCTATGTATGGGTATATGTGCTTCGTTTTTGTTTGATGTGTGTGTGTGTGTGGTTCGTTTGTGGAACAATTTTCAATAACAGTTTCAAACCTACATGTCATAATTTCATCCATTTCACTTCGCTTGATTTTTTTCACTTTGAAGTATTTTGACATTCCTTGAGGAAAAGTAATTTTTGTTAGGTGTTTTTTAATTTTAGATTTTCCTTTGTTTTTCTGATTTCTCAATGTTTATTTTCATTATAGTTTTAATTACTTAGGTTGACAGGGGTCTGCATATGTAAGTTTCCTTAATTTTTCATTAATGGCCTTCGTCCGGCCCGCGAACCGTCATTATAACACAATCCGGCCCGTGGGGTCGAATGAGTTGCCAACCCCTGCATTAGACGTTTGGTACGTGTGAGAGGAGTTTCAGCTATTACAATCCAAAGAGCAATGAAAAAAAAAAAAGACTTGAAAACGAAATGGTACATGAAAACTCTGAGGAACCTTGTTTCTCCAGGACAGAAGGTTAGAAAGTTAAATGGCGAAGATCATCTTGAATAAGTTGGAAAATGATCCTGGAATATATATATATATATATATAAACATTAGGCAGCATATAATTTATATACAAAAGAAATAATCACATAGAATCAATCAACAATATTAATGCAATTATTGGCGACATCCATCGCTAGTATTATAAAAACAGCATTAAAATTTTGTTAATCCATAGATATATGGATCCTCATTTATAAAACAACATACAGTTTTTATACACTACTAGCGATGGATGTCGCCAATAATAGCATTAATATTACTGATTGATTCTATATGTGATTATTTCTTTGTATATATATATATATATATATATATATATATATATATGTATATATATATATATTTTAAATTCATATTAATTCTTCATGAGTTTCAGAACCTTAACAATGTTTAACATGTCATTTTCATTGATAATTGATTTCATCACGAGCCATCTGTTAAGATTTGAGAGTAATTATACATGCTTATTACTCAAAGTAGAGTTCAATAGTGTTATAAAAACCTCAAAGAATTCCAGTATGATATCTTTAATCATTTCTAAGTTATTATGGTTCAAATTTTATTCTAACAATTGAAAATTTTGTGTTACACCCGGTAGACATATGTAAAATTTAAATTTAAAGTTAAGCTTTTCTGCATCCCCAGCGTTTATGCAATGGAGAAATGTAGCCGAAAATTTATTTTATTGATAAGAACATTATTATTCTGAAGATAATGTTTCGAATGACGAAACGCGTAACATAGGATTTATGTTATGTTTATCATTCAATCACTCATATATATATATATATGTGTGTGTGTGTGTGTGTGTGTTAGCAAGAACTACGGCACCTTCTTTGATAAATTTCAACATAATACAAAGATAATTAGAGAACTAAAATGGATTATTGTAAAATTAAATAGACATAATGTGTCTATATGGTTTGATGGAACATTCTTAAATAACTATATATATATATATATATATATATATATATATATATATATATATATATATATATATCTTCTCCCGTCGAATTCGACGTTGAGGGTCAAGCAGATCAGTTCCCAGGAAACCGACAGCCCGACAACAGCACTTGAGAAATGATTATAGTGGTGAAGGTTTTGTGCAGGACCATCCACACTTTTTGAAGGGCCCAATACAGAGACCTGGTGCACTACATTGCAAGTTGGAGGGAGAAGTAGAGGATTCACACCTTCCCCAAGGGCATTAGCACATAAGTGAATATAATGGATTCGAATATATATATATCGAGCAGAGGTGACAATCTGTTTCATTCTTGAACGCAATCTTATATATATATATATATATATATATATAAGATTGCGTTCAACAATCAAACAGATTGTCACCACTGCTCGATATATATATATATATATATATATATATATATATATTCTAAAGGAATAATAGTTTTTTCTGTATAAATCAGACAGGTTTACTTATTAAACATATTTGTTTAAGTCTACCAACATTAATATTAGTTAAATCTTATGAATATATGCCGTTAGATCTGACGTACATTTAATCTCTTGGGCACGGTGTGTGACGATGACGAATCAACTGCTAACACACACACACACACACACACACACACACACACACACACACACACACACAAACATACACACACACACACACGGTATTCGTTATAATTTTGTTATTAATATAATAATTACAACTATATGCTGAGGGATCGACAGGCTATGTTTTGTAATTATTGTTGAGTGTTTCTCACCTTTTTACACAAATGGATTCACCCAGTATATACATATACTACTGCTACGTGAAGACCCAATAGCTACCCGAGAGTGCAAGGATGTAGGTAACCGGAAGAGTGAGGGTGAGGTGACAGCGTTGTAGGTAACCGACAGAAGGTGAAGGTAACAGACAGACAGACAGAACGGAGCGAGTAAGAGTCACAATGAGCGAGCACGTAGACTCAGTAAGAAGTCATACAGCGATACTTCAATACCAAAGACTGTATATATATTTTGCTACTAACCCGTATTCCTGGAACTACTAACCCGCGTTACCAATTTGTATTATTACGTTAATACATTATTTTCCTATATTCATTCTTGGCGTTTGTTATTTATTGGTACCGGATTTCATCCCTGAATCAACAACAATTATAAATTGCAGACGCGTTAAAGCTATAATATTATAAAAATAAAACCCTGAGCAAATTCAGTTGGAAAATCAGAAATCACTTTAATTATGAAGGTAGGATATGTAGTAAACAATAGAAAAAGAAACTAAATAAAATCGTCTCGACTATAAACCCAAAACATATTTAAGAAAGAAATGTATCGTCGTATGAACATAAACGTCACTTTAGTCCGATGAAGTCCTAAACAATGAAACGCATCAGACGAAAATTTTTTACATTTTTTACAGTTTTTCGTGATATATATATATATATATATATATATTGGGTGTATTCAGGGAGAAATTTTTCGTTTATGCTAATTTCATTAAAAATCAGCGAATATTCTGTTTTGATTATTTTTCTTGTTAATCCTTTCAACACATCTAATCATTTTTCTGACTTCCGCTTGATACTGGTAGATGTGCGTTCTTTTATCTTATTTTTTTATGAAACCTTGGACCCAACTTATTAAATATATTTTATAAAAAAAAATAGAAGATATCCCATGTGTCTACGCGAAATGTGATAGGGACCAACTCGATGAGAGGACAAAAACCAAACGTCTTTGAAAACGGCTATTGGTGTCAGCTGAAAGTACTCAGACATGAGACATTTCATATTCCAATATCAATTCCGGAAACCTGAAAAAATATTAAATGTGTTGAAAGAGTAAATAAGCCATTTGAAAACGCAGATTTTGCCCTTTCTTTTTAATGGAACTTTCGTATATATATATATATATATATATATATATATATATATATATATATATATATATATATATATAATATATAGGATTGATTGTATACGGAATAAATTCCAAATAACTAAGAAATACTATTCTTAAAAGAGTGCTCAATACAGAGTTGAGCAAATATAATTTATTCAAAAATTATAACATTAATATATAG